GTGTAAATAAGCTCTTTCTCTGGTGCACATGGTGTGTCCTCTGCCGAGTGTTCTCATCCTTCAAAATCTCAGTGCAAATCTCTCTCCCTGACTGCGCCACAGTTGGCAGCCCCAGTCTCTCTCTACTTCCTTCAAGGAACTAGTCCCAATCTAAATTTACATACTGATGAGTTTTCCTTGCGTATCATCCTGGCATTCTTCCTTTCTTTAGCATCTTTGCCTCTCTTCACACACACATTCAAACAATCTCCATTAAAGAAAACTTGAGTGTCATTCACTGCTGAATCCCCAGATCAAAAATGTCTACTATATAGCATGTGCTCAACCGACATTGTATGGAGTGCACCAATCAATTTCCATAGGAACTGAGGAAGGATGTACCTCAGCCACCTATGTACAAGTATCTGCTAAAGTCAATACATTTATGGAATCCAAGGCAACCTGTCCAGAGAACCTGGGGAGAACAGCAGCTTACCTGATGGCTGGGGAATTGTCAGCTATGAAATCCTTCTTTTGTACCCCCAATCCCACACAGAACTGCATGGTCTCCCTCATCTGCCCCCCTGCCCCATCCCTGCTCTGAATCTACTGTGCTGGTGTCTTCTTACATTCCAATGGTTTCTGTTCCAGGCAGACTGATATTTGATATCAAGTAATGATTTCTCTGATCCAGGTTTTACAGTGGCCTTGATTCCTAAACTGTCACAATAAACATCTGAACAAGAGCACTAATGAGTAAACATCATGTCACATATAAACAGAGCAATGGCAGGGTGAAGATGGCAGTAGATAACAGGTGGACGACCAAGTGCCAGAGGAGTAGATGTCGTGAAGCCCTAGGGCTGAGACTGGTGCAGACACGAAGGCATAGGAGCCGTCATTTTTCCTAGACCCACAAATCTAATAATTCAAGTTTTTGTTTACAGGCCAAGGCATGTCTGGCCTTGAAATTCACAAATTCAAGCAATTGATAACCTTAGAGAAACATCTCAGTGCACTCTTTGGTCAATTCAGTCATACTGGCAAAAGGTACCAGAACCAGTTTTTCTCTTTCTTTCTCTCTCTCTCTCTCTCTTTCTTTCTTTCTCTCTCTCTCTCTCTCTCTCTTTCTTTCTTTCTCTTTCTCTCTCTCTCTCTCTCTCTCTCTCTCTCTCTCTCTCTCTCTCTCTTTCTTTCTTTCTTCATTTTTTCCCCCTGCAGTTCTGGGGATTAAGCCTAGGGTCTCACATATGCTAGGTAAGACCACTGAGCAACATCTCCAGCACTTTTTTTTTTTTCCTTTGGTACCTAGGCTTGAACTCAGGGGGACTCAACCACTGAGCCACATCCCCAGCCTTTTACGGCCTCAGCCTCCAGAGCGGCTGGGATTACAGGCATGCACCACTGTCCCTGGCTCCCCACACACTTTTTATTTTTTATTTTGAAACAGGGCTCTTGCTAAATTACCCAGGCTGGCTTTGAACTCGAGCTTCTCCTGCCTCAGCCTTCCCCACAGCTGGGATGACAAGTGTGCACCACTACCTCCAGCTCTGAGCCGCTCCATGGTAGAACATGGGTTTTGAACTACAATTCAAGAAGGTCATTCAACAGCAACTACTATGGTTTGGATATGGTTTGAGTGGGTCCCCCAAACCTTTATGTGCAAGAAGCCTGTCCCCAGTGTGGGTTGAAATGTGGTAGAATCTTTAAGATGCGAGGCCTTCTAGAAGGTAATTTAGGGGGCATCGCCTTCAGAAGGAACCAATGCCATCTTTGGGAGTGGGTTAGGTCTCTTGGGACTGAAGTAGTTACAGCAAGAGCAGATTGCCAAGTGAGGCCACCCTACATTTGGTCTTGTGCATGCACTGTTTGTCACTCTCACAGGTGCTCCTGCCCTGTGATAACCACCCATCATGCTGTCACACAGCATGAAGCCCTCATAAGGTACCAATGCTAGCACTATACTTTTGAATCTCCAGAGCTGTGTGTTAAATAGGCCTCTTTTCTTCATAATGTACCCAGCCTCAGGTATTTTGTTTTGGAAACATTAAATGGACTAAGATAGCAACCATTAACAGATTTTCTTCAGATACATATGGGACAAATTGGTCTGAACTATACTGCCCAATACAATAGCTGCTAGTCAGAAGTTGCTATTGAGCACTTGAGATGCAGACAATCTGAAGAGATGTGCTATTAAATGTAGAGTACATACAAGATTTCAAATGCAGAAAAAAATGTAGAAATTTCAAGAATTTTTATATTGATAACATTAAATATAATAATTTGATGTATTAAATTAAATGTATTAAATCAATTTCACCTGTTTCTTTTTACTTTTTGCAATGTAGCTGTTGGAAAACTCAAGTTACATATGTAACCACCATGGGTGGTTCATCTCTTATTTTCACTGGACAGCACTGGGTTCTCAGGGGAGGGGTACCTTCTGAGCACAGGTTAGCACAATGATACAGAGTCTGGTGTTTTCAAGTCCAGAAAGTATTTCATTAGTTCACCCAGGAGAAATAAGCTCTGGAGCTCTGGTTCACATTAACAAAAGATCCAACAGAGAACATCATTGATTAATTTCTCAATGATGGGAAACAGAACAGATACCCTTCTGGTCTCAGTGAAGGTTAATTACTTGGCCACTTACATAGTGAAGGCATCCTTATTCCGCTACAAAGATGCTATGGTTTAGATGTTACATGTCCCCCAAACACTCAGTATTAAAGGCTTGGTCCCAGAGTGGTGCCACTAGGAGGTGGTAGGAGCTTTGCTCATAGGATTTAGTGGGAAGCCCTAAGGTCATTGGAGTCTTTCCCTTGAGGGGGACTATGAGACCCTGGACCCCCTCCTCTCCATTGCTTCCTGGCCATGAGGTGAGTACTTTTATTCCACCAAATGCTCTTACCATGATGTAGGTCTTATTATAGGCCCAAAGCAATAGGGCCAACCAATTAGAAATGAAACCTCTGGAACTGTGAACCAAAACAAACCTTTTCTCTTTATAAATGGATAATCTTGGGTATTTTGCTATGGTAATACAGGAACTCAAAGGGAAGAGCAAATTATTAACTAGGAGTAGCTAAATGAAGATAAAATGCATGTAAATGAGTCAGTCCTACAGAGCACTGTACCCTTAACAAGAGCACAGGACATTTGTATATCAGAGAACTGAGGACCTTTTCCAAAAGCACTTTAGAACACACAGCAAGACTTCACTTACATCAGGTTTTTTCCAAACCTTTTGATAAGAGGAAATAATCAATCCATCTTCTATACACAGGCACGCATGCACACATACACACATGTGTATCCCCTAGTCTAACAAAGTAACTCAAAATCTACAAAGAATACATTTAAAAGAACTGTAAATATGAAAATAATCTCTCTACAGTTTTTCAGTTTCCAAAATCACCCAGCTAATTTTCCACCTATGTTTCTTAAAAAGTAAAGTATTGTACTATCCTCTGAGTTCATTTGTCTCTCTCTCTCTCTCTCTTTTTTTTTTTTTAAACTGGGTATTGAACCCAGGGGTTCTCTACCACTGAGCAATATGTTAGCCTTTTTTTTTTTTCCTTGAGACAGGACCTCACTAAGTTGCTGAGGCTGGCCTCAAACTTTCAATCCTCCTGTCCCATCCTCCCAAGTTGCTGAGAGTACCACTACACCTGGCTCGCCTTCCTCTTTCAAAGCCAACAATGGACACTGGAGTTTTTCTAAGGATGCCGGCTCTCGTGTCCTAACCTGCTTCCCTTTTTCACTTACATTGTGATTACACTGGGCCCACCCAGATGACTGTAAGGATGGCCCTAAGAAGGGCCTTAGCCTAAGTAACTCCATTTAAAAATAAAACTGCAGTCCCCACCAGGCACGCCTACGGAGCCTTCCAACATGGTCATCAGGCATAGCCTGATAAAATAAGTCACTCCCCACAACCCTGATAAAACTCAGAGGGAAGTCTCTGTCATTTGCCTTCGTCCTGATAAATGGAGAGGCGAGGGACCAGGCAGAAACCACCAGACCAGATGTCCTGACTTCAGAACAACAGACATCCCTCAGAAACCTGGTAACAGCTGATAGGTACTGAAAGGGCGGACAGAAGCCCCAAAATTTAGCATAAATGATAGAGCAAATGAACAGACATTCAGCCAGCCGACACTGAGGCACAAAAGCCTGAGAGCCTGATGAGGACTTGGACTGACATCCCAACCCTTGTCATCTGCCTGAACCTCTGTGTTGTCCTCACGGCTCTCAAACTTTACAGCATCCTCTTGACTCTGGTGAGAAAAGGACTTCTCCTTACAACCGTCTCCTCATCCGGCCGTCAACTCCACCCCAGGAGAAGCCTCTATCAGTTCCTGACCTGGTCGCTGCAGTCTGAATGTACATTTGCTGGACTTAAGACCTAAGACTTAAGAGTTTAAAACTAGCACTTCAGCTTAGCATGCAGAGGGAATATCTGTAATAAGTTTGTCATGATTAAGCGTGTTTGCAATGCTTGGAATTAATTTAGAATTGTTTGCTTTGAATTGATCATGTCTGTTGCAGTGCCCACCATTAAGGATTGTCATTCCTTGATTAAGAACCTATAGAGTGAAATTGTATTGAGTGATTTGAGTGAATAAAGCATTGAAAAGGGCAGAAGGGCATGGACATTCTTTATCTCTCCCCTTGACTACATATGTTGTACTTTTGCCCATCTCGACAATGACCTAGGATAATCTCAACTTCTCGTTGTGATGTAACATGACAGAGTCACAGGTTCTGAGATTAGCATGTGAGCGTTGCTGGTGAGCCACTGTTCTGCCCACTACCCACCCCACACCCCACCAGTAATTAGAAAACAGTGAAAGAAACCTCATGTGGACAAGTTCCTTCCTTCTGATAAGGATTTTAACTACTTTAAAAATTAAAAATTCTAAAGCTAAAAAGCAAAACATAAATTCTGTCAAATAGCAGGTCTGAGACTTCTGCTTTTCTTGCTCAGCTGAGCGTGCCCATCCTGGACATGGGAGAGGGCACTGCTCACTTCCTGGATTCGCACCAGGGCTGACCAAACGCTCAGAAGCTTTGAGAGAGAAATGCTTGACAATACCATTCTGGAAATGAAGCCCCCAAGTCTTTCACTGAATTCTCGTATCCAATGGCAGCGTACAACCCACTTCAATAACAACATTCCAATATATGATCAAGATGTAGTCCTCCCCATGTGGTAAATGGTAAGGAATTGATAGCAAGTTTGGACAAGTGTGATTTTTTCCTTTGATAAAACTGCATGGGTGCCAGGCACAGTAGCACGTCCTGTAATTCCAGTGGCTTGGGAGGCTGAGGCAGGAGGATTATGAGTTTAAAGCCAGCCTCAGCAAAAAGTGAGGCGCTAAGCATCTCAGTGAGACCCTATCTCTAAATAAAATACAAAATTGGGCTCAGTGTTGAGTGCCACTGAGTTCAATCCCTAGTACCAAAAACAAAAACAAACTGCATGCACAAGTGGGGCCGAAACTGAGACACTTGTTAGATCTACATCAACAAGGCAGAGGTTAGACATCACAGGCCAACTGCCTGCTTTCTTGCTTGATAATTTGTATCTATTACCAAGCAGCCATGACTTTGGATAATAGACCTGAATGCTAATTGTGCTGCCAAGCAAGAGGGTGTTGCAGTTGATGGAGGCTCTTTCTCACACGTAATAATCCTTGCGAAAGACCCATTACACTCTCACTCTTTTGTGATGCTGGGGCTTGAACCCAGGGCCTTGGGGTTGCTAAGTAAGCACTCAGCCACTGAGCTACACTCGAAGGTCCCTACTGCCTACTCTCAAGTGATTTAGCCACTCTCTCGTCTCAAATGGGGATCCTTCAAACAGGGATGAACATATCTGCCCTCATGTTTTAAGAGTAAATGAGGACGAGTTCTAAGTACTCGGGACAAACCCTAGTACCTCATGAGCACTTAAGTATTTGTTAAGTAAAAATTTTAAATGTCCCTGCTTGCTGCTTATAACTTGCCAACCAAACTATTCCAAGGGAGCATACTTCTCAGCCCTAACTAATCCATCATAGAGGACATATTTTATATACAGGTTAATATGTGCAATGATGTTCTTCCAGAAGTGCTCTAAAATACTAATTTAACAAAAACAAAAGCCCTACACTGCTATTGAAGTTTGGTAGCAACTACTGGGGTAGTAATGACTTGGTAGAACAACTCACTGAGCAGACACGAATCCCAGAAGACAGTAGCAGCTGTGTTAAATAACTGTCTCAGGGCCTCCTAAAGAAAGACGCACAGCACTGGCGAGGACAGTGGGGTTTGTGATGCTTAATGGCCCCGGCATTTTCTGGGACAGTGGTGTCCATGGTACAACACTCTGTGAGGGACAGTACCAGTTGTGCTAGACTAGCCCTCCTGGCATCTGCTGAGAGGAGGGCAGGCATATTATAACTGCACTTCCAAAGCTTCTCAGCATTTGCAGCTGATGCCACATACTTCTTATGAACATTCTCAAAATTCAATGGCAGTGTACAACTCACTTCAATCATTTTATTTTAGCCCCAAAGGAAAGGGGAAGGGGTTGGTGGGGGGATAGGATCCAGACCCTGTCAGTACAGGCAAGATATAACACATGGATATTTATTACAGAAAAAAACAAGTTACCTTAATGAGAAATATCTGATTTTGCCCAGGTATGGTGGTGCATAACCTGTAATCCCAGCCACTTGGGAAGCTGAGGCAGGAGGATCACAATTTGGAGGCCAGCTGGGCAACTCAGCAAGTCCCTATCTCAAAATAAACAATTTTGCTCAGTGATCGAGCACCCCTTGGTTCAATCCCCAGTACTGCAAAAACAAAACAAACAAACAAACAAAAAAACCCTGAGCCACTGAACATTTACTTTGAGCCAGGTATTACTCTCAATATTTTATACCCACCAAGTCACATTAATTCGTATGGTTACCCTAAGAGGTAAATGAACCTAGTGATAAACCTAGTGATGATCATAAACCTAGACTGCCACACAAAACCTGTCAGTCCTCCTTCATGACATAAAGGCCAAAGAACTAAAAATTAAAGACATCAAATTCTTTATCAAAATAGAGGCCCCAAAACCTGATATCTCCAAAGAGATGTCAGACAGCCAGGAAGGATGCTGGGAAGGGCATGGGCATCCCAAAGAACTGGGCCCACTTTTGAATCCCTATTTGCTTCCCACCACCTCTACAGCCTTGGGTGCAGACCCTTTCTACATTGTTTCTAAACTTCCACAGCAATAGACAATTTCTATTTTTCAGGTCTATCTGGAAACAAAGACAGTGTTTTACCTAATCCACAGGAGTGCCTATCTCATGGGAGCTACCATTATATAACCACCGCTGTTTTACCCACTACCTTCATATTCTGCGTATGGTGGAACTCGAAAAGCCAACTCCACTGTTTGACCTGCATTTCCAAGGCTGAACTCCGCATCAGCCAATGCTGCCAGTCTTCCTGAAGGTCTGCACTTCTCTGTGGGGATGGGCTACAACATAAAGGTCTTTCTCGGAAGAACCTCAGTGGGTTAAGTGGCCTGTGATCTAAAACCACTTACTTGGTTTTTGACCCTCCTCCCTCCCCCTAAATAAAACCTCATTCTTTCAAATTATCTCAAGATGTTCGATCAGACTACCTAAACTAAAAATATCCCCAGGTGAGGAAAAGAATCCTTATGCCACCTCGCTGGTGTGGATCTGTGAAGAAGTGACATTGCAGTATACTCATCCACCTTACCCCACCCAACTGGGCCCTCCAGGATCTCAACACAGCCAGGACCACAGTTCCATTGGGGGGAGGCACCACCACCCTCTGGTATATTCCCTTCTTTCTGTCTGTAGCTGCCTTCCCACCTCCAGGGCTCTCCCTCCCATTAGTCCCTTCTAACGGGTGGAAAAGCTTTTTTTAAAGTTTAATTCCTACATATCTTGAATTTCCAATCATCTTAATGAAAAGAGGTGATTAAATTCTTGTGGTAGGTACTCATCCCAATTTTCCATTGGCATGATGTCTCTGTTTCCAGGGATTCAATTGGATAGCAACCACCTTTGTTCAGATACTCACTGAATACCTTCTGGGCCTAGGCAAGTAAGGCCAGGTAAACTTGGAGCTGGACACCCCCAGGGCAGGTATTTAAACTCCTTTCCACCACTGCCTGAGGCTAGCCCTGACATCAGGTGCTTTTTCCACAGGTGAAAGGAACCAGGAGACATGAACTTCAACACAGCCCACCAGCTGGGAAATGGCACTTACCTGAAGGACCCTCAAAAGTCTCTCCACTTGCCCTGAAGTAGCCTGACTTTCATTTCCCTTTTAAATGATTTTAGTTTGTGACTCACTTTTTTAAAAACATTGTATACATACAAGAATCCAGTTAATGAGTCCATGCTTTGGGGGAGGGGGCGGTTACTGAGTGTGGATCCCAGTGGTGCTCTATCCCTCATCTACAAGCTATACCCCCAGTACCCCCAAATACACCTTATTTATTTTATTTTTTTTTTAATTTTGAGACAGGGTCTTGCTAAGGTGATGAAGCTAGCCTTGCACTTGGAATCCTCCTGCCTCAGCCTCCCAAATCACTGGGATTAAAAGTGTGTGCCATCACGCCCAGCTAATTAATGTTTCTTGAAAAAGAAAAAAAGAACACACATGAGTTTGGTTTGAAATTTTTAAGTTATACTATCAATTTAAATGAAATCCATGAAAACAGAAAATTATAAGACTGAATTTCAAGTTGTTATAAGCAAAACACCAAATGATATAAAGGTTGGGCAATAGGGCAAACCAATTAGCAAGTAACCTATGATCCCCTTGACACTTAATTCTAATAGCTGTTTCTTTAAATTTTACTTTGGATCACAAAGTCATTGTTGGAAATTAATAAATTGAACTGATCTGGGTGTCTGGATGAAGAGGCTGAATTTAACACTGCTTATATGAAAGCATGCTTTATGAAAATCATAAGAAAAAATAAACTAGCATTAGAAATGGGACTATAATTAAAATTTTGACTCAAGACGACCTATTTATTTGATATTGATGCAACTTATTCCAAACCTAGTGATAAATCTACTAAATGAAATGTCTGGAAATACTTTACCTCACTGGTACTATGGAAGTAAAATTTCTTTGTGAGAGCTGCCTGGCAAAATTAGCCCTGCTCCACTGTGTTATAATACCTCAAAAAATAAGTTTAGCTCCACAGGCCAATAACAAAAGCACAAACAGTACTTTAAGAGAGCTCCTATGTTCCCTTTTCATCAGATAATCCCTTGAATAACAAGCTACTACCCTGCTGTGCAGCTCCACAGAGGTTGATCCTCTTGCTGAAATCTTATGAGACTCACTAAAGAAAAACAGAAGTTAAAATTCTTTTAAGTTAAAAAGAAAGGAGGTTGGGCATGTTGGCACACGGGGATAATCCCAATGGCTCAGAAGGCTGAGGCAGGAGATTGCAAGTTCAAAGCCAGCCTCAGCAATTTAGGGAAACCCTGTCTCAAAACATAAAGGGCTGGGGTTGTGGCTCAGTGACAGAGTGCTTGCCTAGCATGTGCGAGGCACTGGGTTCGATTCTCAGCACCACATATCAATAAATGAAATAAAGATCCATTGACAGCTAAAATATTAAAAAATAATAAGAAGACATAAAAAGGTCTGGGAGTGTGGCTTATGGTTAAGTGCCCTGTCATTCAATCCTTGGTACCTGGACTGAGAATATACTTCAGAGATAAAGTATGTGTTTAGCATATGCAAGATCCTGGGTTTGATCCCCAGGGACATATTTTAAAATAATAATAATAATAAAATACATAAAAGCGGGGGGAGAGAAGATTCTATATTTCTGAACATGGTTCTTTAAAAGGCAGCTAAATTACCTGGTTCACTGGCCCACATCTGTAATCCCACCTACTTGGGAGGCTGAGATAGGAGGATTGCAAGTTGATGTCCCACCCAGGAAGCTTAATGAGACCCTGTCTTAAAATAAAATAAAGATCTGGGATATAACTCAGAGGTAGAGCACTCCTGAGTTCAATCCCCAATACTGTGAGGTGAAAAAAGAAAAGGTAACCAAATTAAATGTATTTCACTTTTTAAAAAGTGAAGTAAATTATAGAAGAAAAATTTCTTTTTTAAAAATGAAATACTCATGGATCTCCAGATAAAGCTAGGAAGATATTTAAAGCAGAGCTGCTTAAAATAATGACAACTGGAAACAAACTAAGTATCCAACGATAGGGGATTAGTTGAGATGCATGCAGCCATGTAGTAGAAAAGAAAAAAACGATGCTATAGAAGAGTATTTTAGAGACTAAGTGGTGTCCATATGGGGGGGGGGGGGGGCAGAAAATAAAATATAAAGAACAAACCCAGTTTTGCAGAACACAACTTCCTAATTGTGAGACTTCACAAAAGTTACTGAATTTCCATAAATCAGTTTCTCCCTCATAAAAAGGGGGTAATAAGAGTACCTATCTCTAAATGTTGGAGTGGGGATTATGAGATGTTATAGTTACATGAATGCAGGGGACACGTTTGGCCCAAAGTAAACTCAGTATATGTTACCTCTTTATGTTGTGTGTGCGTGAGTGGAAAACAGTGAGAATAAATAATGTAAAGTGGTTTTCTGGGTGGTTAAAATTTCCATAGTAACACATTGCTTATAATATGAGGAAAACTAATAAATGGGGATATTTGCACACAGTGGTAATCCTCTTAAAGATCTACCATAGTGTTTTATTCACGGTAAACAAGTCTTGATAGAGCTAAACTGAGCCTTCAGATTTCATTTAAACAACTTGCTCTGGACCATTTAAAATGGCTTAAACTTAAGAGGTCATTTGTCTTTAATGTTTTTTTAAACGGTAAAGCTAGACAGACCTGCATTATTCAGCCTCATAAGGATTTATGAGCCTCAATTCAAGAACCTTCAGAAAGCCACTAGATTTCTCCTTATCAGTGAGAGGCACCCATCTACAGTCTAATCACTTATTTCCTTCTAATTCCCTAATCCTCTTCTCTTTGACTCCTTTTCCCTCTTCATAATTAAAGTCTGGGGTTTCTCTCTACTGGACTATAGGTCTAAAGGACAGTAACAGGGATTCCTTCCTCTTAGCATCAGTAGCATCTGGCAAAATGACTGGCATATAGTAGTTGCTTACTAAGTGTTCAGCAAATAAATGACTTGAATAAATATCTCATAGTAGTAATTCAGGCTTCAAATCTACCATGTGAATAAAAAAAAAGATCAGTAAGCCTTAAAGTCTGAAACTCCAAAATTCTTGATAATTTTTTTTTTTTTAGAAAAAAGAAATATCTTGCTGGTTGTGGTGCATGCCTGTAATCTCAGCAACCTGGGAGGAGGATCCCAAGTTTGAGGCCTGCCTCAGCAACTTACTGAGTTCCTGTCTCAAAATAAAAGGGACTGGGGGGTGTAGCTCATTGGTAGAGTGCCCCTGGGTTCAATTCCCATGTAATAATAATAATAAATATCTTACCTCAAAGTATCACTTTAAAAAAGTTCTCATTTGTACTTCACTATTTTAATATACATAAGATTATTTCTATTTTTTCTTTATATTTCATTTAAAGTTCCACAAACACCCAAGAGAATTTGAGTAACTTCCTTAAAATAGCAGTTAATAAATGACCACCTAAATAGTCTTGGGTCTGGTTGATTCCCAAGTCCATGATCTCTCTATACCATCAAAGTTGTTGTCATAGAATAAGAAGAAATGCTTTCACTAAGATCTGAGCAAAAGCTTCAGATTCTTCCAAATATTTCCTGGGGCTTTTACCAGGATCTGGGAAAAGTGAAACAGAGCACCTCCCAGGAGCAATAACCTAAGGGTCTCCAAATGGCTCCCTCCAGGTCATAACTCAACCAGCTTTACTTAAAAATGAAACTAAAGAAACCAAATTAAATATTAACCAGTAAAAGAACCGACCTCACCCAGAAGACTATCAGCAGACCCAGGAAAGGTTTATAAAAAGGAAATTTTACTCTGCTTCTTTAAAAAAAAAAAAAAAAAAGTGTGGGGTGGGAAGGGGTAAAGTTGTAGAGCTTTCCACACATCCCTTCTTCCTGCAGGCTTGTAACTTTCAGTCACTGCCCTGACATGGTTTAAACAGTGAGTGGCAGTTCCTATGACACAGGTGGGAATCAAAACCTTCTCAGGTATCCACACTGAAACGTTTGACTTCCTGAAAATATCACTTTCCTCTTTCAACGCCAAGGAACTTGCCAATGGATTTCACATGCTAAACCCCAGCCCACCAGGTTTACATATATGTATAAAAATCTGTGGAAATTAATTGATCATTACCTAAACCAGCTGTAATGTGGTCTTATTTATATATAAACAGTTACAATTTGTTGGAATCTGCTTTGTACCAGCCATTATGATTAAGTCTCATGTGCTTTAATCATCATTGTTGTTCTCATTATTAATCCTGATTGAATCCTCATAATCATCCGAAGTAGTTATAATCCCATTTTACTGGTTCAGAGAGCTTCATATACCTGAGAACCCACTGGTAACAGAGGAGACCAGGAGTGAAGCCACGGAATTGAAAAGTTAAGGACAATTCAAAATCCATGTCCAAGCCCCAATGATACTAAACAGCTGATTCTCTTCAAAATTTAGCCAAAATGGTTTTAAGGTCATTTTTGAGGAGGCAAGACTTAAATGAGAGGAATGGAAATAAATAAAAATAAATGATTACAAAATCTGAGTTTGTTTCTATTCACTGGCTATCTGTACCCACAGACGTTGACTAGGGGTCCAGTCCCACCTATCTATCCTAAGAAACCAAGTCCCACTTCAAGGGGTGCAGATCTGATAGCCAAACGTTGAAAGGTTTCCGTGTTAGCAGCCCAGAGCTGTGTTCCTTCACACATCATCAGTAAATGTCTCTGGAGATGAAAAAAAAAAAAAAAAAAAAAAGTCCCTCCTCCACCACCCGAACTTCAGCCCTGACCTCTGGAATGGCCCTGGACAAGCTATGGTTTAACCTGTGTGTTTCCAACGCCAGCAGATGGTTACCCGAAATGGGCTGCAAATGAATGAGCTGAAATATCAGAGCAAGGAGACTGAGTCACACAGCCTTCCTCAGGCCGACAAAAATCCGAGGAAGGATGCCCTGGGGCGGGGCGGGTGGGGGCAGAATATTAGAGCCACATCTAAGGCTGGGGATCCACCTCCCCCCCACTCCCCACGCGCTTAGCAGGACGCGCAGCTCCGCAGCCCCGCAGCCCATCCTCCCCGCGGCCCCTCCGGGCGCTCCTTACCCGCTCGCAGTGGAGCTCGCGACACTCCAGGCTGTAGGCACTTGCTCCCGGGAGGAGGATCTGTCAGGGGACCCAGCCCGCTGCTGCAGCCGCTGCGGTCAGTCCCGGGCACCGCCACCCCCAGGCCTAAGCCGCCAGAAAGTTTGCTCGGGGTCTAGTCCTCACGCACCGCGGCTCCGCGAGGGGAAAGAGCTCTCCCGGTTCCTCCCGCGGTCGCCACCCGCGAGGCCGCACTCGGCGGCGCTGCACCACTGGCCGGGCTCCGGGCGGCCGAGGGCGGCTCCGCGCGCTCCGAGGGCGGGGTCTCCCCGCCGGGTTCAGCCCGTGGCGCGGCGCAGCGCTCGGTGTTTACCGCGGCCCCGCGGCCCGCTCTCCCCGCCCGCCGCGCGCGGCCCGCGCCCTGCGCGCTCCTGACATCATTCATTCTCGCACACCCTCGCCCGCCCACTCCATTTCCAAACACTGACTCACCCTCCGGCTCGGTGGCGGCAGCGCCCGCTCCCGCTGCTGTGGCTCTCCTGGCGCAGAGCGGAGCTCGAAAAACCTGCGCGACTTCTTAAGAAGAAAATCCCAGTGGACCCTCCCCTCTCCCGGCCCTTAAAGATGCAGGGAAGGAGGGGCTTGGCACAGCGGGCAGTTTGGCTGGGTTCGCAGAGGTTGAGCGCCCGGCGCAGACCTCCCGGAGCGGTGACTTGGATCTAACTGGGAAAGTTCCTAAGGTGTCACTCCTAGCAACTTTCAGGGTGGGGCTGGAAAGGGATCTACCACCCCCGCACCTCCGCTTGATGCAGAAACTGTTTCCTGACGATGGTGTGACTAGGTTTGGGGAAACCCGGGTTGATTCAAAGGGTGTCTCCCTGGCCTAGGTCAATGGGGTGGGTTTCCAAACATCACAGGATTGCCTAGAGATGTTAGTCATCCCACTTAGTAGCACCTCTAAGTGAACGGGAAGGGGCTCGAGGCTAATGATACTATCCATTTTTCCATTTGTCCTGTTAGTTGATTTGCTTCTAGGTAAGGATAAAAAAAATAACCAAAATAAACATTGGAAGAGTAGTTCTTTACTCATTTGAGCACTGCGCTTTTTCTCCAGATTTGGGGGCACAAGGTGGCTGTGTGTGGTTTCGCGGATGACCTCAGCAGTTCTGTTTTTAGAAGGGGTGTTGCCATCTTAAAAATGGTCAAGGATCTACATTTTCTTGGATACCATTCATACACCTGCTGAGCAGTTTTCAAAACTGTCAAGATTTTTTTTTTTTTTTTTGCCTTGCGGTCCTGGAGATTGAATTCAGGGCCTTGAGCATTGGTGAGCAGTTTTCAAACTAAACGATGGCAGCTTCAGAGGGTCTAACTAGGAATCTGAGGGAATTGGCCAAATCTCTATTGAATTTATTTGACAGAAATGTTTTTTTGTTAATTTCTATTTCCAGAAAGGGTACTTCCCGTTTAGAATTTGCACAGGCTTAGGGGTGATCCATTTAACCAAAAAAAAAAAAAAAACGAGAGGCATCTCTGGGTATCTAGAGTGGATATAATTTTTGTAAACAATCATTGGTCCATGATTATTAAACATGATTGTAACAAAACAGAACATATAAGGGTATTTCCCAAACTGACAACTATAAGATATTGTCACAACTCAGAAATTTCCTTCAAATAACAGCTGCTCCTGAAATTTACCAAAGGTTCAACATTATTGTGTGGAAAATGCATTCCTTTAAAGAAAGGAACCCAAAAGACAATACCAACAATCAAAATTTCTTTTTCTTTTTTTTTTCTTTCTTTTCAATGAGAAGTTCATCTTCAGTTTTACAAAGCCCAGGCGTTTTGCCCAGAATGCAATAGCAAATGGATCGGTTTGCTAGGATGCAAAGTAAATTCAGTTTTGGCCAGCAATCACCACTAATTCAAAAGCTTGAGGGTTCCATCCATAGGTTACACAGAGGTTCTAGGTTCAAATGTGGACCCAAACATAGGCAAGTTTCGGTGAAAATCCATTCCACCTACACCCTATTTCATGACACAAATATTTGGACCTTATGGAAGTATGGACTAATAAAATTTTCTTTAAATATCAGAAAAATGATGATGTGGCCTTTGGGTTTATGTATGTAGATAAAGTAAAAATAGCTCCAAAGCCTGCAGTTCTCCACATTGTTGCATGTAAACCCTGCAGTCTTTCATGGGTCTTTGCCTTTGTGAAAGACTATTTAATGGATCATTTTTAACTTGTGGTTACTATTGTGCCTCAGTTTAAACATTGTGAAATAATCAGACCATTTTATTATAATATTTAAATACCCCAAATAAATACAGTAATTGTAAATAAGTTGCATGAAGTTTTTCCATGTTACTCACTGAGAAGGAAAATTAGTCACAATTTCTGTTTTGAAAAAATAGTGACATCCATCTCACAGAAAGTAGTGATGTCTTTTAATATTTTTAACTGTATCTTTTCTTCTGATTATGTATCAAAATTTATTAAATCTATGATTTGTCACCTTTCAAAAATAATGATGCTGAATGCTCTAAGAAAGAGAAAGGACTGATAAATATGTTCTTAACATCTTCTTTCTAAGCCAGTACATAATGTAAATCAAATTTTATAGAAATTCCTTTGGTTTGATAAAACAAACTGATTGGGGAAATATACATATTTGTAGTACTTATCTCCTCTTTTAATTACTACTGTTCTGAACATAACTAAAGTCATTTATTTAATCAGCAAGTTTTATTGTGTTTCTTCTTCATGCACATGGCTATTTATCTAAGAATCACCACTTGCACCTTGTAAACATGTCTCAGCAATGGGGAAAGATTTTTTTTTTTAATTTTGCATGAGGATGTTTATTGTAGCATTATTTATAATTTTCCTGGGGTCCAGCATAGTGCCTGACATATAATCATTGAGTGAGTAAATAAATGCACAAATCTTTAAAAGAACAAACCAGTAGAATTCCAGCAACTTGAGAGATGGAGGCAGTTGGACCACTAATTCAAAGTCAACTTCAGCAACTTATCAAGACCCTGACTCAAAATAAAAACTAAAAAATGGGCTGAGGATGTGGCTTAGTGGTAGAGAGCCCTGGGTTCAACCCCCAATTAAAAAAAAAAAAAAACCAAACCAGTAGTCAAGAAACCCCATGTTATGGGATAATATATAGCCAATTTTTTAAAAGAGAATAAAGTAGTTCAATAGGCTCTAATTTAGAAAAATGCCCTTGTTAAGTGAAAAATATAGCAGAAAAAATATATACACCATTTTCATGAAACAAATTATAGATAATTTCTTCTTGGTATTTGATAGAGACTAGTTGCAAAACCCCGCAGATTTCAAAATCTGTGGATGCTCGGGTCCCTTATACAAAAAGACACAGTGTTTGTATATAATCTACACATATTTGTATAGTTTACATTACCCCCAAATTGCTTATAATACCTAATAAAAGTAAATAGTTGTTATACTGTATTATTTAGAGAATCATGACAAGAAAAAGTCTGTATGTGTTTAGTACAAGTGAAATTTTTATTTCATTTACTTATTTACTGGGGATTTAACCCAGGGGTGCTTTAACTTTCCACTTTCCACACTATTTATTTTTATTTTTATCTATTTATTTTTATATATTTATTCTTATTTTTATATATTTATTTTTATATTTTATTTTCCACACTATTTATTTTTATTTTTAGACAGTGCCTCTAAAAGTTGCTGAGGCTGGCCTCAAACAGATGGGAAGTTTTATTATTTTATCCTCCTGTTTTACAGGTGTGGTTACGATGTCCAGCCAAAAAGTGTCTTGTCCATGATTGGATGCTGAGGGGAGAAGAGAAGATAAGACAATGGGGGAGGTCAGTCAATAATTAAGTTTCTTGAAACGTCTGGAAGAAAATGTCCAAAACACAGATGGGTAGCAATGGCCTAAGAAAAACTCCAAGACAAGGGGAAACAAAAGCATGAGTGGAGCATAGTTATGTCTGTAGACTGATGGTGAAAAGTTGAAAAAAAAATATTCTCTTTAACTACTTTCATTTTCCTTTTAGTTAGGGATTGTGTAACAAATGAACACGAACTTATCAGCATGAACCTGCACAATTGTATTAATCTCATCATAGGACCTCATCATGTAGGTCAGAGGTCCTACAGGGTTCTCAGCTTCAGGTTCCACAAGGGGAAAGCAAGGGGTTGGTCACAAAGAGCTCTACCAACCTTCCAAACTCAAGTTGCTAGCAGAACCTAGTTTCTTCCAGCTGCAGGACCAAGGTTTCCAGTGCTTTACTGGCTCACCTGTGGCCATTTAGCTCCTACAAGCATCTGGTCCAGATCCAGTAGCCGTGTGTTGAATCTTTCTCCTCACACATGGAATCTTTTTGACTTCAGCCACATCCCTGCCTCAGCTGGAGAATGTTTTTTAAGGGCTCATCTAATTAATTGGGTCCACCTGAATAATGAATGGTTTTAGTCTTTTTTTTTTTTTTTTCCTCGTTGCAACTAAAAGATCTGACCAGTACAATTTTAGGGGAAGAAAAGTTTATTTGAGGACTCAACAGTTTCAAAGGTCTTAGTCCCTAGAAGGCTGGCTCCATTTCTCTGGATTAGAGTGAGGCAGGACCTCATGGTGGAAGAGTGTGGCAGAGGGAACCAGCTCATATGATGATCAGGAAACCAAGGGAGGGAGGGAGGGAGGGAGGGAGAGAGAGAGAGAGAGAGAGAGAGAGAGAGGGAGGAAGAGAGGGAGAGGGGGAGAGAGAGAGAGAGAGAGAGAGAGAGTGTCTCCACTCACCAGATACAAATGTATACCCCAAAACCATGCCCCCGATTCCCACCTCCTCCAGCCATACCCCACTACTTCAGTTACCACTCAATTAATCCCATCAGAGGATTAATTGACAGATGGGTTAAAACTCTCACAACCCAATCATTTTGCCTCTGAACTTTCTTGCGTTGACTCACACATGAGCTTTTGGGGGACACATCCAAACCATAACAATAATCAAGGCTGATCTACTTTAAGAGCTCTTAATCATATCTTTAAAATCTCTTTTGCAATGTAATGTGTTCCCAGTTTCAGGGATTAGGGTGTGGACACCTTTGGGGTCTCATCCTACCAACCACAAGGTGACACCATCAACTGAGAATAAGGAAGTGGAACAGATGGGAAGTTTTATTATTTTATTTTTTCAGGTACTGGGGATTGAACCCAAGGACCCTCTGCCACAGTTCTACATTTCCAGTCCTTTTTATTTTTTATTTTGAGACAGGGTCTCACTATGCTGCCCATGCTGGCCTTAAAACTTGCAATCCTCCTGCTTCAGCCTCCACTCACCTCCAGCTGCTAGGATTACAGGTGTGCTTCACTGCAGCCTGCCATGCTGAGTCTTACGAAACTAGAAAGTCCAGGCAATGCTGCTCCAGGCTAATCTCCCCCAGGAATCAAATCATTGTCAAAGCGCAGCCTCCTTTTCTTTGCTATTGCTAAATTCTCCAAGGACATGTTTTATATAGCCCAATAC